CGAAGTCGGTGATCTGGTTTTAAGCAGGCCTGCGGCTCACCAGCAACCACGGGAGATTGACTTTAAGATCCCTGAGGATACAAGCTAACGAAGAAAAAAAGAATCAATTACCACCATTGGCCCTGGCACTGCAGAATGAAAGAAAAAATATTAACACACAGGAAAAGGCTGAACGCCAGTCAGATCATCGTGATTTTCGGACAACACCCTCTGCTACGACTACATGAGGCTGCTGACCCAGAGCTAGCTCTGCTAGCGGCTACGTTCCCAAGGCCTGAAGGATATTTATTTCGTTCAGAATCACACTGCTAAAAGCCTTCCTACTAACTACAGCAGAAGTTCAAGATTAATTATTTAGACTAGGATTTTTCTCATGGACAAGCGTCACACTAACTCAAGGAAAGATCCTTCTTCAAAACAGGTCACTCTGAGGGATGAAACGCCACAATGGAGATCAGGTTTACATAAATGGCACGTGGATAAATAGGTCCAAGTAGATCAGCAGGCCTAGAAGTGTCAAGAAGGAAAGCAGGATTTATGCTCTAGTCTTTTTTCCACTAAAGAACAATCTTCCCCTGACATGACATTACTTTGCATACTAGAGGAGTGTTGTTAAAGACAGCATCCCAGAAAGATACTTGGTTAATCTTAAACCTCCATGACTAAACATACTCTACTATGACTCTAGAGGTACGTACGAAGTGCCAATCACGGTCTGCTAGAGCAGAAAGTAATAAAGAACCTCTACGAAACCAGCTGGGGTAATCTGCCTCCCGTTCCCACATCTGCTGTTCATGCCTCAGGCTACTTCTGCCCTGATACTGCAGCACCTTTTCAAAAAGGATAATACTTTCTAGGGACTATTGTTAAAGATGCAGCAGCAACCTGCTCTTGAAGTCCTGCATTTTAACAATCATCGGTCATAGATCTCATACTTAACTTTTTCCCTTAGGCTGGAAATGGAAGTAATTTTCTCCATCATTTTCTAGTCCATCAAAACGTACACGTGGCAGATGAAGATAGGAGGGTGGGGAAAGGGGGAATAGTAATCCAGAGTCAATCTCGTTTTCAGCAGCTTGACTGTCTTGAAGAAAGCAGATGGTTTCTTGATCTTCAAGGAAATTCCTGACAGTCTTCAAATTCTCCACAATCCTCTCAACTACATTCTTTCAAATGCTCGTTATAAGGAGGCTTGTCCAGACTTAGCAAAGTCAGTCATGTAGGAAAATTAGTTCATATGAAATGAGGTATTTCTGTGTACTGAGCTTGACAGAAGGAAACTACCTTTAAAAACACGTTAACCATTTACAGCCAACAGCAAGAGGATAGTATGATGTCTAATGGCATGAAACTCTGATCCAGTTGCTGGTTTGCCTTTCATGAGCAAACTCAGGCTGAATAAAAATAATGTTCTGAAAAAAATGCATACAATGGGCTATAAGATTTGACAGCACAAAGACTAGAATATTCATGTCTATGCCTAAGAGGTATCCAAAAGCTGAAAACCTGATTAAAGCACCAAAAATACGCTGTGCTGGAAATTAGACTGTCCAAATTAGATTCTTATTAAAAATTAATCATATTAGGCCTATTCATCATCCTCACAGACAACACAAAGGCAGCAGTATGAGAGCAATCAAGGCCCTGGTTTGAATCGCAAGCTAGTTACTTTTCGGAAATTGGAGTCTCCTGTTAGAAATAGGTTCTTAACATACAGATTCCAACCGATTCTTCTCTGTTAGCAAAGGGGCGATTACCAGAGCACCTGAGAGATTGGCTTATCTGTAATTCATCTTCTGTTATAGTGACGTGTTAGTACAGAGTGGTTTAGAAGGTAAAAAAATAGGCGAATACTGAAAATAGCTAAATACGTATTTACTTAGTAAAATGAACTTTTAAGCCCTTGTTAAAAATACCTATCACCATTTCATTTCAATGCAAATGATGCTAAGGGAACTACTATTTTGTTGGTATTTCCCAATATGAAGCTCATCCACAACAAAATCAAGAGTACAGCTTTCTCATCAATCACTGGCTTTTAAAGCGCACAAGATTAACATTAGATTAGCTGTAATATTTTCTACGTGTATTTAGGTATAGGGGAAAGTGGGAAAAGCTGACAGCATTTGATTTAGTTATCAATACGCATGTATGATAAAAGTTCACAATCATATCTACAGAAGTGAGGCACAATAAGAATATTTGAGAGAGAAATCGTTTTGAAATGTTGTAGTGCTTCGGTAGGAGGCAGAGAGATTTAAATTCAAGAAGTTTCTTCTTTCAGTAGTCATTTCTATTCAGACAAAAACTCAGAGCTGTTAATTTCTCAGTTCAGCCCTTTGCAACAAAATCCTCCGCTACAAATGGCAGCAAACCATCTTCTCATGTCTAACCTACAGCTACACTGACACACATAATTTGTGACCTTTAGTAATTAACTTGAATACTAATAATAGCAAAGGCACAGCAAGGCAAGTCACAGCCCTACTCATCTAGAGCTACATACTTAGCAGCTGCAGCCTGTGACAATACAGCTTTACTTCCAGAAGTACCGGAGATGGCTAAATCCTCTTTTGCTCAGATAAATGTACACGTGGCATTCACATACTCACGTGCATGCCACTTCCTATAGGGGCAAGACTAACGTGCAGGCACCACACACGCTGTATTGTACCTTTTTTGTGAATACCTGAAAAAGTCAGTCTCAGAGAGATGACATTTTCAGCAGCATTAGGGTCCTTTGGTTTTAAAGCAAACATAAACCACATATGCACAAATAAACACGATAAAAGACTGGGGAGCTCCTACTGAGAACTCATGAAACTGCAAGGGAAAAGCATTCTGAACCATTTATGGTTCACAGTGGATTTGGAATTTTTTGTTCTGTATTTTTTCTTGTTTTGGAGGGGTTACATTACCAACTTGTGTTAAGTAGAACATAAACTCTTACAACATAAAATATAATGTTTGATAACACAAACTATGCTTTTCTCAAACACAGATGGAAGAACATATGCAAAGGAAACTCCTAGGAGTGTGTTACTGGACATCTGTTATTCTTGGAACAAAAACAGAATCGTTTTCACTCCAGTAACCGTTCAACCAGAGAAAAGTATTTATTTGCAGTGCCACCTGCTGACAGTGTACGGGTCTGTGCATTTAGCTGATGTACAGACCACACTGCTACGTGCCGCTCAGTTCATCAGAACCTTGTAGCCCAGACAGGCACAATTCCCAAGAGGGTCATCACTAGAACCCCAGTGCACCACTTTGAAAGTTGACTTCCAAGTTATTTACACATATCTACTTGTCATAGCTAAATTGATCGGATAATTTACACTCCTTTTACAAATTGGTCTTACAGCTAAAGCAGTAAGACTGAAGTACGCTGGGATTTTATTCATTTGTACTGTTACCAGCAGTGCCACGACACTGACCCAGCACACTTGCAGAGTATGTATTAAAAGATGTTAATGGATTCAATTGGATTGTGGATATGGTAATTATCTAAAAAGTAACAGACAGTATCGAAGTCTATTAAAGTCCGTACCTATTTCTCTCATTTTTTCCAAGTAGAGAATACTGTAGAATACAAGAATGCACTGGGCAAGTCAGGGTTAAAACAAACACATACAATATTTGTAAAAATATATTTGTAATAACAGAACCAAACACCAAGACACAGCATCAATTTTTTTCCTCAAAAAAAAGCTGAAAAAGAATGGTGGTTTATTACATTTTGAATATTTAAACAAAGCAACAGTCTGACAAGAAATTGAAACAAACAATTATTCAGGAATATGTGAGCATATTTAACAATGCACACTACAAAATGCTGTTCTGAAGGATTTGGCTAGAACAGGCAGGATGGACTAAAAAGACTTCAGTGACAATGAACCTGGTGAAGTCCCACACTCCACACACTACTGTATTGGAACTTCCTCAGCCCTTTTAAACTCAGCAGAATATGCAGGGAAAGGGCTTATGGTTCTACCATGCTTAATTTTCAGTCATCTCTTCTGGCACTGGAGAGAAGCATAATTGGAGTTAGGTTTATTCTAGAACGTAACAAACCAAAGCAGTTCATCCAGACTATGTCTGATCTCAGGCAAACTGGAAAAGTTGTCATCCACAGCACCCAAGTGTGATTTTAAATAATCTGGTAGGTATGAAAAACTAAAGACTGATATGGCAACAATATCCAACAAGTTATAGTATTCTGAGAGTAAAAGTAATCTACCTCATCCACAAAGAGGGAAAATTCTTCTGGCAGAATCCAGGACCGGGGATAGAAGTTATATTCAAGAGGAAATAGATCTTGCATTGTTCGCACTGCCCGACTCAGTGTAATTTTACGTACCATCTCTGTCATGCCTGGGAAAATAATAGACAGTGTCTAAAAGCCATGAAGAATCCGCACTGAAGTCACATCCTAAAAGTAAATTGTTATGCCATTAATCATCCTATTGGTAGACGCTCTAGTCATTGCTTTCAATAAAGCTGAAAATTTTTTAAAATTTAAAATCTGATAAAATGTTTGTGGCACTCCCCTCCCATATTTCATATTGTATATATTACTATATTGTATTAGAAAAAATTAATTAGTTATCCAAAACACAGCTCAGAATAGAGGGAAAGTTTTAGTCCAATAGTAACTACTGAGACTTTGCCATAATCCAAAATTACTGCCCTGGCATGCTATCATTCCAGGAATAGGTAAAAATGCCATTTAAATATAATCCATCACTTTGTGTTTACTTTGCATTCATTTAAGTGACTATGTCAGAAAGAACAGGTTGTTTTGCGAGCAGCCAAACTTAGCTGCTTTCCTGCAGCTTTCAATCTCATGCTTGGATCGCGCCACGTCCAGATCCACGTGAGCTCTGGTAGAAGCTTTTCCCAAGGTCGGGACATTACGGGTTACTCTCACACTGTTTATATACTTTCAGGTATTACAGCTTATAAGATTCATGCTGCAACTTTTCTCAGCGAGAACATCATCTGTGGACTTCTCCACTGTCAGCAAATTTCCACAAAACCTACAGAAACTTGGTAGCCCGTGACTGCCAACCTCTGTCAAGCACAGCTGATTTTGGCCAGGAGGTTCCAAAGGTGCAAGGACAGAAAGTGACAGGGAATACACACACATTTGTTGAAGTCTTATTTCCATTGGGAACATGATTAAAAAGCTATTTTTATGGGAAAGTTTCTAAGCCTTTCTGAGGACCAACCCTTTCAGATTCTTCGAGTCTCTCACAACTAAGAGAAGGATCAAGATCTCTTCAAGAGAAAGAATTTAGTAAAACCCAGCATAAAGTTAGCGCAATGTTCCTGGAAATCAGGTCCAGATCTGCAGGACTCTGTGGTTTTGACCACTGTGCGTGCCACTTGCATGTAGAAGCCAGAATAGAGAGAGGGTAACATTCATCTAACACAGATTTAAACCACCAGAAAACTACACTATCTGATACTTGAATATGAACTTCCCACAGAGAGGAGAAAGTCAGGGTAAATAAAGCATAAAGTTCGATATCCAAGGGTTCTTATTCTCACAGCATACTAACAGCAGCAATAAATCTGAAGTAAAGGGCTTAGATAAGTCAATACCTAAGCTCTTAGCTCTTATTTAGAGAGATCTCAACAGGGATTAAACGAGAAAAAAGAGCTTAAAAAAGTAGAAGAGGCATCATAAGATGAGGGCTGACATGAACTCTTCAATATTAAAAAATCCATTTGAGGAACTCCAAGTTTTTCCCTCAGATAGGCCACAGTATGAAACAAAACAGATTATTTCCACTTTGAGTCAAAACCAAATCCAAAGATACAGCACTGTTATCTATGCTAGATAACAGACAATAATTGCATGCTTCACTTAAATTACAGCCTAACACTCTTACTTTTCCTAAAATCATACATATGAAGTATTCTTTTCATTAAAAACACTCTCTCTCCAAAGCAAATTTCAGTTCAGAAATTGAGACACCCGTTCTGATATTCTTACCCCCAAGCAGAAATCTCCTACCAAAAATGGTAATGTGGTAAATATATCATTAGCCGATTAGGCAAATAATTCACATTAAAAATGAATAAAACACAGAAACAATTAAAACAATCACGTTTTTAAAGCATTTGTGTAAACTAGAAACAGAAGTAAGGTACCTGGAAACTTGTTGACTTGACCTGAGAATATATCATTATCATGAAATGATACCCCATGCCAATAGATATCGCATGGCAAGCGTCTGCCAAAAGGAAACTGGAAAAGAGATAGAAGACGTGTTTTGAAGCAATCTGGCAATATCGGTTCATTCCTTACTTTTCTAAACATTCACATTAAGCATAAACCATTCAGGAATAGTCTTCTGACTGTCAGAAGAAAACATGCTCTCTATTTTGGTTGCAAAACTGGCAATATTTTGATCAGTTCGAGACTCTAAAGTTCAAGATGTTAACAAACCAGGAAAGGTTTCAACAAACTAAAAATAAATGACTGAGAGGCATGATCTGCACTGAGAAACTCCGAGCTTGTTATCAACCACAATTAAGGCATGACTCATTTGTAATGTAAAATACTATTACAGGGAATAAAATTTCATTAAGAAGCACTTAATTCCGGCACATGAAGGCACAGCAATAGCAAGTGTTGCACTTGGGAAGTAAACAAACTCTGACATGTTTTGGGTTGAGGGGTTTTTTTTTTCCCTCCTCAGTTTAAGAGGTGATAAGCAACCATGTCACAGAGGAACTGTCATACTGTCATTCCTAGCAGTTACTAAATCAACTCCTGTTCTTAGCAAGATCACCATTTAGCGCCCACAGTCCCACGCCCAGTATTTATGGTCCCCCTGGGCAGCTTGGTAACCCACATCCCGTCCCAGACTGCACCCACACCCGTGGAGCCCTTCACCCCCGACCGGGTGGCACCTCCACATGCTCCGTCTCGCACGAGCATGAAACCCTTCTGCTCCCTACTCTTTATTTTCAGGGAATACGTATAGCCAGTCATATTGTGGTAAATTAATAGTAAGTTGTAACTGCAAAGCACTTTCTGAGCAAGCTGATGTATGTTGGTATCCAAGCTGCAATAAATTTAAAATGGATATTGAAAGCAAGATATTTAAGTGAAATAACTGTATTATTCATTTTTATATATTCAGTTATATGTATTAATTTATACAGTATTAATTCCTTTCTGGTACTAATAGCCTGCAATTAAAAGAAAAGCTTGCAATTTAATTAATCATTTGTTGAGCATATATATTTCAACTATTAAGAACTTAGGCAATTATTTCAACAACATTAAATAGCCCAGCTTCTTTTCCCCATTCACATAACATTTTACCATAAGCTGAAAAACTGTATAGTTTGTTTTCTATTATCAAGAAGATGAACCTTTTCTGAAGTGGCCTGAAGAGCTCTGAAACAGTGTTGCCAAATACTGATAGCAACAGTTCCTAATAGTAGTAATTGAAAAAAAAAAAAAAAAAAAAAAAAAAAGCTACCAGCGGTAAGAACAAAAGCCCCATAGATTAGCAGTATCAACAATCCAAAGAAAAAAAAACCAAAAAACCCCCCACTAAGTAAAAATCAAACATTTGTAATCCATGTTATAATAATAATACATAATCAGTTTTGTGTAAAAAAGACATGCTTCTTTTTCATGCTTGTTCACTCACAGTCCCATTTATTAACCCAAAAAACATTGTATTTGCAACGCCATGTAGTTGCCATTTAAATATCATATGGAATACATTCATAGGAATCTCTTCTATTATTAGGATACATCTTTTTCAAATAAATATGCTATATTTCTGACAACAGCATTTTTAGGACACATTTGTATTAAATATCTACTGCCCTCATCACCCAATGACTTCAGTAACCATTTACTTATTGAAAGACCCACAGTATTTTGCAGAAACTACTTGTTCTTTACTCCAAATGTAATTTTTCTTGCTTTAAAACATTTCTTTCCGCACTGGATTTTTTTTTCAATATGACAGAAAGAAGAATCTCATAAAGCTTTTCAGTCAACTACTTTATTTGCTACTTTAATTAAAATTTCAATTTCCTCAGTAAATAGCCTTGAAAAATTAATTTAAAATGCAAATTGAGCAATACATCCTTTCTCTGTTTCCTTACTCATAGGGATGAGATACCCAATTTAACAGAACCAGTGGATTCTTCACTTATTTCATTATTATTCAGCCTGCAAAATCTGTTTTTGTACAAGTGAAAATTAATTCTGTTAGGCTCTGAAAGACAATCAGTGGCCTTAACCTCTCTCCACAGGTATATCCAGAATACAGATGCAGTATTAGGTCTTAGAGCACCCTTCCCACTAAAATCTGAACAATTTATTTATTTATTAAATGAAATGGAAATGAAAGGAATGAAATTTGCATTTATATAACACCTTTCATCTACAGAGGATATCAAAGCTCTTTACAAACACCGCACAGAAATCATTCCATAACAGATGAAGAGCAAGCTGCTCTGGACTGGAAAATGGAAGCATCGCATGCCCGCATCAGCAATTCAGATAGGGCGGCAGCTTCCCTACTCCTGGCAGATCAAGATTATTTGGATATATCCAACAACGGGATCAAACTCACCTCCTGCCTGAGCTGGGAGGATTCCTTATCCTCTGCACTATACTTTTACATAAGAATAGTGTTTGGAAAGGAACAAACAAATTCGATTATTTGGCTCCCTCTGGCAGCGCCAGGCAGATATAAATTAATCTTATTGGGGAAGAAGAGGCCTTTCCGCCACCTCCCCACTCCTGGTGCAGGGGACTCGAGCTAAAAAGAAAGGTGAAGCAGTCTGCTGTTCTCATAACTTCTCTCTTCAGCTACCCTGTCAGCTGGAATAGCCTCCGATCTGCACTAGCCAGTGCCAAAGCCAAGGTGCCCACAGCCACGGGGGATGGAGGTGGCAAACGTGTGGCTGGAGCCGTCCTCACCGCTCTGTGCCCATCCTGCACAGAAAAACTGAGTCTGGTCCCAGGATCAGTCCCTGTCAACAACTTCCAGGTTGCAATCAATTCACTAACTCTTCTAAGAATGTATTTAAAATCTTTTTTATTCAGAGTTGGGGGCCATTTGTCAGAACAACAACAAAAACCAGTAAAAAAAAAAAAACCCACACCACAACAGGGGCCACAAAGATAACAGAATTGTTTTCACAACTTTGACACTATTAATAATCCATCACAGTCAAATTGGTCTGACAGGTCATTTCTACCTTTTGATTGGAAGCCAATAATTTAAATTGTCTCACGGGTCACATCAGTCTGTTCCATCATGTTTAATGACAAGTTAAATGACTCTTGTCTTCTAGTCAACTCTTCCTAGCATAAAATTTCAAACTATTTTTACGCTTCCACACAGCTACTGAACAGCAAGACTAATGAAACGCTTAATGCTGGGATATTTGATGCTTCAGACATCTGCTTCTTCCATTTTCCTGGTAATTGAAAGCTAGCCGAAGAAATAATTTATTAAGTGATGAATAAACTCAGGATGCAAGCTCAATTTGTGCCCATTATTTCATTTGGCATATCATGTTCATTTAAAGAATCTGACACACCAAATCAGATAGTCCAACACAGTGATGGGAATAATTTCTTCACTGGCATGCACATTAAAACTCTGCAATGCTTTTTAAAAGGTCCACCCCTGTGCGTTACCCCAGACAGAGCTATCATGGATGATAATTTAATTTACTCAAGACCCCCCGAGTTGAAAAAAAAGTTTTTTCTATCTTTTGCTTCTGATAACAAAATCTCGATAGTCAAATTGCATGCTCTTGAACCCTTTCACCTCTTCCTCATGTATCAGTGGCATAGAATAAACTGCTTGCCAAAGTTAGCCATGTTTAGAGCATTGTTCCTTTTTTTTTTTGTCTTAGAGTGGCATTTACCATATGTTAATTTATTAAAATGAACTACTTCCATGTGGACAACTGTGTAATCACACAGTGCATTATGTCTTACTTCTAGAAATTATCAGGGAGCATATTGCAATAAGAGATTATTACTGAAACAAAGCTCTTCCAGTAAGTCAGGGTAATCACAGCAAGGAGATTTCAGAACTTACAACTTAAACCAAAAATCAAACCAAACCAAACGCCTATATGACACTGAAATAATACTATCCATGAGATAGAAAAAATTATCGATAAAAAAAGAGCCCACTTTAAAAGCCTATTACAATGTCTCCTGCCCAACAAAATATTCAAGCCACCGCATCCAGCAGCAGAGAAGAACAAACAGAAACAAAACAAAAACAGCAATGGGAAAAAATTTAAAAGAAGTGGTGAGGGAGAAGAACGATCAAATATACTAAACCAAAGCCCACGATGTAATCATCTTGAGAAGTGTTATACAAGGGACAACAGTATAATACCAGCCCCTAAAAAACATCAGTATTTAAATATATGCATTTCTTTACTACTTCTAAGATTTTAAATTTTTTTACATTATTTTTATGGCTCCTGCAAGAAACAACATACGTGTTCCCTCTGCTCGTCCTGCTGTAACAGTGAAACCATTTCCAAGGCTCTGTGGCCATCAAGGACAGTTGTTTGAGCAAATACTTCAGTGCTGTTTTTCTAAACATTTGAAAGGGAGAGGTTGCAAAATTATATGCAACTTGAATAAAAGAGTTTTTCTTGGATTTCTCTTCTTAATGTTGTTTATTTTTCTCTTCAAATCTAGGCAAGATTCTTGCCTACCGATTCCCTGCATCTACTGAAGTCAACAGTTTGCCTTGCTCCCATCTTCTTATTTTCCCCAGTGTAACCAGTACTAGTTTAGAGTCATAGCTAATAAGTTAATATTGGTTCCCCTTTCATCACTATTTCCACCTTCGGGGGTAGCTGGAAAGAAGAAGAAAAAAAAAAAAAAAAAAAAAGAAAACTGATTTGACACATACACATTGATAAAAGACTTTCTTAACAAAAGATAATGACACATTCATACATATTAATCTCTTTATTATAACAAGCTGAAAAAAATTACAGAAATACATTACAGTGACTTGCTTACAAGGAATTAATTACTAGCCACCTAAATGGTACCGTCAAATGGCATAAAATTCCATATTTGGTCTCTTCTTTATTAAGAGCATGAAGCGGCCAGAAGGGGAAGCAACAGACTAAATGAAAAGTATTGACTGAACTAATGGATGGAGGAGAGTGGATATTGAATGAGACAGTAAACAAAGAAAGATGAAGTAAAGCCAAAAGCGATTGTTGTTGTGGGATGCAGAGCAGGAAGGAGAACACGGATAACACAGTGCAAGATATTCAAGAGAGGAACAAGAGCATGTGAAACAAGTCAATTTGTAGGAGGGAATACCAACTGCAGAGAATCCAGGGGATAAGGTATGCAAAACAGTAAAAGCTCAGGAAACAGAAAAGACAAAATTAACCAGTAAGTATGGCTCATTTCCAACATCATCTGCAGGCTAACTTAAATCAGCCATTCAGAAACACTCACTGGAATGGCACTGGGCACTCTGAACATAAAACTTAGCCGTAAGAACGGAGACATTAAGAGTGAAGTCCCCCTCGCTCTGTATGTCACCAAGTAAAACACTGAGCAAGGCTGCTGACAGACACACCACAGGCGCACTGAGGGGTAAAAGAAGTAAAGCGTAAGAGGTTTTAATTTCACGACTCCAGTATTTCATTACTATTTTGCCGTAAGAACAGGAGTTGAGAACTGTAACTTTTGTGCAATGAGATTTTGAAATTCTCCTGCTGGATTCAAATAACAAAAATCTTGAAATAGTATTTCAGGAAGATGGAGAGCGAGAAGGCATTATTCTTCCTGGCAAGCAGTACATAAGTCTTCATGATATTAGGCATTTAGGACACTATGAATAAACACAGGTAATATTTACTGCCACTCAATCCTCCAGAAAATAAATTTGTAGCATTTAACTCTGAGTTTAGGAACAACACAGAATATACTGTCTACCACAAGTCTGCATAAGTTTT